TCATTCCGCAACCTTACTTGTTTTAAGGATAGAATAATCCAGTCTACCGCCTGCATACGGACAGAAAACTAAATCAGTAATAGAAAGACGTATTCAACTTATATTTGAGATAATTCTCAGAGAATTAAAAGTCTTGCTGGGATTGATTATTAGCGACCACATTCTTAGCATATTTTTTCTTTATCGGCATCACCCAATGAAAGGCATTAAAGCCACTGTGACACAAGGGGGTTAAACGAAATTTCTACAAGCGAGAAAAGAAACTGTTAGCATAGAAATTACGGTTACATCCTGCCAGCTGATCTGTGAATTGATGAGATGTCGACACCAGTTCTGTACTGCGATTAAATTAAAAAACAAAAACCAAAAAAAAAAAAAACCAAAAAAACTCTAGGTATCATAGCGAAGAGCGATATTTATTCTGTTTAATACAGAAATGTGGCACAAGGCCGAAAAGGGGATTGGGGAAAGGACGGTCTTCTTCTGTCTTAACTATAACTTAGCTAGCCGCAAACGCTGACCCAATCGTACGAACAATATTCCTTACACCAAAACAACACATTCATTCGTACCTTTCTTACGACAACCACTTTGTCTCTATGAAAATACTAACTAGTCCCCATATTTACAATTCGTTGTCTGTGGGGGGAAGGGAATAAAACAAGAATTCTAAAAGTTAACCCCAATGAGTATTTACAATATGCATACAAAAAACTATTTACAAGAAACTAAAGAAAATCAGATTAGTAATAAAACCCCCAACAATTACTAAATGTGACAGAAACATCACTTCATTGGCCGAAATCAATGCGGGACTATAATAGTATAAAACATTCATTCATCCCAATCACTCACACTAACATGCACTCATTCAGACACAACAACAAACGAAAGGCGCCCCGCATCCACCGGCGAACTGACATCACTGACCACCTAACGAGGGAGGGGATGGGGAATTAAAATTAAAGAAAACAAATAGGGACAGAAATAAAAGGGGGCCAATGAGCATACATACCCTAGCTAAGTTAACTGTATCATAGCGAAGAGCTCATCCGAACAATTACCATGAAAGTATTTATAGAAAAGACACAGCAAGGCAAACTTCCGGTGGTGGCAAGTGGCTGAAGCCGAGCCGCCAGATTAGGACCAATAATATTGCTGATACTTCTTTAGATTTTATCTAGGAGCTCAAGATTAATAGCAAGGGCACCGGACCATCAGTGGCAGCAATATTCTTAGCATGGACGAATGACAGACTTATAGGTATGTAAGATAGATTCCGGAAAGAGAAAAATATCCCGCACGACACAGTGAACCAACTTTCTTAGCAGCTGACCTAGCATATAGCATTTCCATTTCATATCAGCTGAGAACGTTAGCCTGAGAAGGAGCAAAGAATCACTTTCCTAAAGGTTAGCATCTGCCACGCGGATAGAAAGCAGAGAGGGGTCTATAAGATGATTCATACAGAGAAGTTTAGTTTTGGGAGCGTTAAAATTAACAAGCCATCTTTTACCCCAGTTAACTATGGACTGGGGGTCGTTTTGAACATTAGCAACAATGGCTCTCCACTACTTTCTGTCCATTATAAACTCTCAGCAACGTTTTACTATTTACTATCTGTTCATAGATATATATCTTTAAAAAAACTTTAATAAAAATAGTATAAATTATTACAATAATATTATCTATATCTATAATTCTCAAAATGTGTGTGTGTGTGTGTGTGATACAATGTCGTTTATCCGTTATCACAGTTTTCATTCGATTTCGATGAAATTTTTTTGTTTGATAGATAATTTTTCGGTGTCGGTTTTGAGTCCAAATTGGCTGGAAAAATTACAACCTTGAAGATGAAAAATCGAAAAAAAAAAAAATTATTTTTTTACACTCTGCGTAAAAATGAAAGGCAAAATTTATTGTCTGTAAAAACAGCGTACAATCAAATGAGAGAGCTGAAATCTAACGCAAAAGATTATTAGAATTAAAAAAAATATATATTATAAATAAAGATTATCGTATATTATTATGACGGTCCATGGAAGAGGTTCCTTCGTTGCAAAATTGAGAACGCAAAAAGGGCCATTTTCAGAGAGATTGTTAACCCCACCTCCCCATTTGGGGATGGGCCTCAGTTGTACCCCATTGTTACTAATATTGATTTTTGGGTGGGCTGACTTTAAACTTAAACTGCTCCAATTGAACGACAAAAATTCCCAGTAATGAAAGACCCGGTCGAAGACGCGTTCTTCTGCTAGTCAAGCAATAACACTGACTAAAGTGCTTACATCTTAAAACACACCAACTAAACCATAGAACACAAATTGGAAAGATTGTTTTATTAGTCATCATGATTTACGTAGATACTGCCAAAATATCACGCGGACGTAGTAGATATACCACGCGTATTTTTAGGGCCAATTAGGAAGAAATAAATAATATAATTCTGGAGCTGATATTCTTACGAAAAAGTATAAAACTCACGAAATCCGGCCCCAAACATGAGACGCACAAGGTCCACGTCACTCTAGCTGTTCATTTTCACGACCCCATTCACGTTCATACGCAAAAATCAACAGCGCTGAAAAGCAACAAAGAGACCGCTTCAGACTAAGGCACCACAGTTCACTGTAAGAACTAATAAATTCTATCTCTTGCATTCCCTGTTACTACTAAGCACGCATACACGCATATAACAACATTTCACCGTTCTCACGTATATACACAAATGCAATTTATATTCTTTTTCAGAATTTTATTAACCAAAGCAAAAAGACATTACTCATTCAAATCCATAGCCAACTTTTTGTATTCTTGTCGTTATATTAAATTAACGTTTATTTGTTGATACTACGTTGTCTTTTTCTACTGGATTTTATTCTTTCAATGAAAATCGTAGGATTATTCTAATCGGTCGAATTACGAGCAGTCCCGTAACAATATTTTATGTTACTGAAACGAATCCTGACATTTCGCATTTTGACATTTAACAAAACCCGAGTAGAAGGATTCCTACACCACTTGAGCTTGTTATGTACGTGACATGAATCTGCTTTGATTTGCGATATATTTTTAGCCGATGTATGTGCTGTTTATCGTTAGAACAATAAATATATTATATATATATATATATATATATATATATATATATATATATTCTTATATATAATTCCTATAAAATATATATATATATATTAACTATATATATATATATATTATATATATATATATATATATATATATATATATATATATATATATATATATATATATATATATATATATATATATATATATATATATATATATATATATAATTCTAAATAAAATTTGTGAGATTAGATATATTTGTTTCCTTGTAAATATATTTTCCTTGGTGTAGATATATTTTCAGATATCAAGCTAAAGTTGTACCAAATGGACATATCGTTATTATTTTAAAAACCCCGTTCAAATAATCAATCAATCAATCCATTCTAAACGTTTTATTGCTTAGCTTTGGCATCATTTAATACATATTAACCTTAAAAATGATTAAAACTTCATAATCATCACTTACTGGTCCGATTTAGTGGTTGTCGTTTATCATGCACTATTTTTTTTACCAAATTGAATGTAGTTTTCTCATATTCATATATATATATATATATGTATATATATATATATATATGTGTGTGTGTGTGTGTGTGTGTGTGTGTGTGTTGGTGTAATAGGAAAGGACACATTAATGAACCAAAGTTCTTTAGTATTTATGTTTTTATTTTTAAAAACAGTGCTCGATACAGAAGTAGAATTTAAATTTATAATTATTTTTTAAAATATGATTCCATCGCGACACAGAAATTACTATGTTTCGAAACGCGACTCAAGTCCTAAAGTTTAATTTCAATACAGTGTAACCCGGATATAAGAGAGTTGTCGGGACCGGAGACGAAGTCTCTTATAACCGGGTTTGGTCTATTTTATATACATTAACACAGGCTCTAATTTGGGACCAGAGAAAATCTCTCTTATATCCGGGTTACACTATATGTGTATATACAGTGTAACCCGGATATAAGAAAAGTTAATCAGGACCGGAGAAGAAGTCTCTTATATCCGGGTTTGGTCTATTTTGTTTAGGTAAGTATGGGCTCTAATTTGAGACCAGAGAAAATCTTTCTTATATCCGGGTTTCACTTATATCAGGGTCTCTTATATCCGGGTTACACTGTATTAAAATGTACAGTACAGTTTCATTCTCAAGTGGTGTTTTAAAACATTCTACAACACCGCTTGAGAATGAAACTCTACTCTAAATTTTAAGTTTAATAAAGAATTTAAACTTTAGGTCTTGAGTCGAGTTTCGCAACATAGTAATTTCTGTGTCGCGACGGAATCATATTTTTAAACAATAATTATATATATATATATATATCATTCTTTTTCTGTTCGACACTCTTCGTTCGACATTTTGTCCTTCAACAATCTGCTCACGCACATAGCAGCAAACGAAGAAATAAGTTTTGGGTTTTTGCAAACGACAACCTGTCTTCTAATTACGATCGAATTTCTATCGCACAGCTCGGAATTAATACTACTTTCCCGCAGTACACCGTTTACCCCAAACATTGAAAATGGTTTTGAAAATGGCTAATAAATTGGTCGAAAGCGCTTAAGACATAAATCATTAATGATCGTTCTTGCTTTCTTCTGTTTCTTCGTTTATTTTTCGACAATACTTACACAGATTTTTAAGTTGACCTTTTCTAATATATGCTGGTATATGTTGGCGGGAATCCTGTTAAGAAGTTGTTTGGTGATCCTACCTTGGAAATAAACAGTTAAACTGGTAAATGATGGAACTTGTTCGAAAGATGGGTATACCAGCTTTAAGAACTGGTTTTTAGCATTAGTCGAGGAGAGAACCCGATGCATGAACTGTCAGAAAAATAACATTGTCTGACGCTGGTAGACATTTGTTTAGAATATCTCACACTAACTTCCCCAAGGCTTACAGACATATCATATTGAAACACCGGCTCCTGTACGATCCCCGAAGTTAATCAACGTCGAAACTGGCCAGTAACTAGATGGGTGACCGCTTGGGAATACCACATGCTGTAAGCCTGGATTTATTAAGTAACATCGAGCGTCGCCACTACCTAGATGGGTGATCGCATGGATGAGCGGGTCGTTCAATGGGCCACGGTAAGATCACGTTGAAACACATGTTCCCGTACGATCCCCGAAGTTAATCAACGTCGAAACTGGCCAGTAACTAGATGGGTGACCGCTTGGGAATACCACATGCTGTAAGCCTGGATTTATTAAGTAACATTGAGCGTCGCCACTCCCTAGATGGGTGATCGCATGGATGAGCGGGTCGTTTAATAGGCTCACGGTAAGATCACGTTGAAACACATGTTCCCGTACGATACCCGAAGTTAAGCAACGTCGAAATTGGTCACTATCTAGAGGGTAACTACTTGGGAATACCTGATACTGTGAATTTTGATGTGAAGGTGGTGTAAAGGGCTTGAAGACGCATCACAATTAAACACCATTTCCCGTACGATCACCAAAATAAAGCAACGTGGAAGTTGGTCAGTACGTAGATGGGTAACCGCTTGAGAATACCAGATGCTGTAAGCCTTGATCTGAAAGTTTTGTAAAGGGCTTACAGCCAGAGCATGTTTAAACACCGGTTCCCGTACAATCATCGAAGTTAAGCAACATCAAGCCTAGTTTGTACCTAAATGGGTGATGGCTTAGGAATACCAGATGCATTGTTGGAATTTACGGTTTGTATAATGTATAAAGGCTCGAAATTTTTAAACAAAGAGCCGAGTTCCAATTCGCTCTGGGTTTGTTATATTCTCGTACAACCAACTAACCATGGGAAAGGTATGAATCCGCATTTTCTTGCCCCCAAGCTATGGGTTAATTAGTAAGATTTGATTTGGGTAATACGCTTACTTTAGAAATTGTAATTTAATGATAAACGTCAAAATATGTCTACAAAATTTTAAAAAAATCTATTTTTTATCGAATAATTTCCGACAATTTCAGTTACACTTATAAGTGAATTAAACTTATCAGTAAGGGAAGACAGGTTTGCCTATCGTCCGCCTCACACTCCTTACTGGCTTTTTGAACTGAAGTAGAAATTTATCCTTTGTTTCTTGTTTATGATTGGGTTTCCAGTTGCTTCTAGCGTTTACTTCAACTCTATACTTCTGATGACGTCGCCTAAATTTTGAAATCATATTTACTTTTATTTTTATGTTATTTTCATTTTTTCCTCCACAGGAGTATATAGGTTCGCCTATCGCCCCGTTCACACTCTTCTCCGGTTTTTGGAACAGTAGTATAGACTTATTCTTGTTTCCTGTTTAGGATTGGGTTTCATGTTCCTTCTACAATGTTTTCTTCTCATCTATTTCTGGGGACCCCTTACGTCTTGTAGGCATTATCGCCTTAGGTAAAGTTATTAAAAAAGTAACTGATTTTTTTAAAGCTTTAAAAAATAATTTTAAATATGTTTCAGTTCTCCAACTTCGTGAATATATTTCTCAACTCAGGTTTGGCTTTATGAGACCGAGTGGTAGAAATGGGTTAATCCAATGTCTTGTTTCAAACTTAGTCAAATAGTATGTTTAGGTGTATGGGCGTGAGCTTGTGTATATACTTAATGGCACAAGCCTATATAAATCACTCATGAACAACGCAACCATAGCCATATATATTACACACACACATTGTTCTTTATCCTATCATTCTGTCGGATTCCGATCCATATTTCTTCTCTGTTTGATCCGTATTTCTTATGTGATATTAAAAAATATCTAAAACTATACTATTTAAATATGGTGTATTTAGGTAGCAATCACTATTTTAAACATGATTTGAACTACAGACAAAGTCTTTCTGTTCAGTTTTTTATTGGACAGTTGTCCACGCTACGTAAAAAAAAAATGTATTTTATAAATTCTTCTGTCTTTTGGTAGATTGTATCACCAAAACTAAAAGTCAACAAATATTAAATTATTACATTGGACACACAAGCACTACACTTTCTCGTGGGTATACTTTGTCAAAATGTAGTGCAATATTGGAACCTTAACTACCAGTCAAAATGAATGTATGTTCCCTCAGGGAGGTACCGTGCTTTGAGCGACTATTTGGCCTCAAACTCAACGCAGACCCTCACATACGATCCATCGCTAAAGATGCAGGAAAAATGGTCGGTTCCCCGTACCGTTGCTATATATATGTATTTTGGTAAGGGGTAGGGATGTATTATTCAAAATATTTACCAAAATGTAGCTAATAAACGATACAATGATACAGACATAAGGAAACCCGAGAAACCCTTGTCCAAATGAAATAGATTTATCTGTAACCATGGAAACGTGATTTTAGCTGTCTTTAAAACCCAGTAATTTTAAAAGTTACTCCAAAATTCGCTTGAGGATGAAATGGAACTAATGTCTTTAATTTAATTGCAAAATTAAATTTGGGGCTTTTAGCTTCCATTTTTGAAACATAGTTAGAACTGTGTAGCGGAAAAACATATTTTAAATCAATTAATTTATAATATATATATATATATATATATATATATATATATATATATATATATATATATAATCAGTATTTGCTTTTAGAATTCCTGCATCCGAATAAGAGAATTACTTTTAAATGTCCATCAGTCATTTATACAGCCAGCTCAGGCCTAAAATGGAGTACTGGGAATATTTCGGCAAAAGCTCAATTTCCAGTCTCGGTAGAATCTAAAAGCCTTTTCGCGTGGTTGCGGGTGACAAATTATTCTCCAACCTGCATCCCCTCTTTCACATGTAAGATATCCCAAAGGTCTCACTACCCTATCGCTTCTTCCATGGAAACGTGCACAAACGAACGACAGTCCTTGGTCCCATCAGTTCTAACGTTCACGGCTAGGACCCGCCATGCTATGCACATTGCACCTAAGCACCAGCATTCCTTCCTTATCTCATTGGAATAAATTCAACTCGAGTACCTTCTCGCGAACCACTGCTCAGTGGAAGCAACTCCTAATGTTTCACCGATCACTACACTCTTAACCTGTTCAACTCTAGAGCCAACCATTATCTTCACCATATATATATACATAAAGCGTGCCTCTTACTCTGTAACCCTCTACCACAAGTGGCTCTCGAGTCTTGTACGAGGTGAACCTCACTGTAAAAAAAATAACGAAAATAATAACACGAAACATTTTTTAAGAGATAAGACGAAAATATTATATCGGACCCAGTGCAGGAAAACTTAAAATTCTGGGAGTTATTGTAATACATGGGGAATAGTGAACCATAAAGCGGGTATCTTTCCTCATAGAACAGCGGTCACCAAACTTTTTTCACAGAGGGACAGATAACAGATAACAGAGAATGACGAGCGCGAGCTGGATAACCATTTTTTTTTTCAATACAATGTATACACAAAAATAAAGACAACAATATTTATTTACCAAAAAGTTATCTAAGAAAGCGACAATAGCAATAAAATATTTATATCATACTCAGTGCACACATATCCGAATCTCAAAAACTAAGCAGCACAAAAGGTTAGTGCGATTTATAAAACTGGCGTTTACCTTTTAAGATTTAAGATATAATTAATATTTGTTTTGGTATTGCTGCATCCAACCAAGAGAATTGCTTTCAAATCTTTATCAGTCAACCTCGTTACATTTTCCTGATTTTACATACTTTAAATTTTATAATGAGTTCAGGTAAAAATATATGACATAATTCGCTGAAGTCAGTCCCTTTTATATACGGCACTCCTCAAACCGATTTAAACATGGCAATGCAAGTTAAAACATAATTGCTGCAGAAGGCTCGTAATCGCTTCTCTTAGAAAGTTCATTGCAGTAGTCGCATATATATATATATATATATATATAAAATATCATATTTATATTTATATATTCCTTATTTGGAATTCCTGCATCCGACCAAGAGAATTACTTTCAAATGTCCATCAATCAACCTAGTTACATGTGGTAACTTTACATACTTCATTTTTGAAAATGATTGCTCACAGGCATAAGTTGTTCCATAAATTGATGCCATACTAGAGGCAAAATTCTTTAACTTTGAAAACCCATCATTAGGTATGCAGATTTTAAATTCCATAAGTGTTGTAGAGTGGTTTCACAGTGGAGGCTTGTATTTGTACTAAGTCGGTCCTAAAATAGGTTCGACGTACAAAACGTTAGGATCTTGATATAATCGGTAATGACGCAGAGAAATCTAGTTGTGGTGGCCGATACTTTAATATCCGACTAACGGTCGTCCGACATTGACTGACTGACCCACTCCTGAGCGACTGCTACTACTCCTATTTATTATAGGTGGGAGAGTCTATTAAAAATAGAATAGGTGTGTTCCACTATAACAATAAGATTTCCTTCTCTCTGATTTTTTTTCAACAAGTCAATTGCTTGCAAATCAATAAGTTCCATGTCACTATCAATTCATACTAATATCGCGTAAAGTGTCATTATTTCTTAGACAAACAGTGAGATGATTTCCGTCTAAGAAAATAATGTACTGGGTTCAGCAGACCTTTTTTTTTACAGAGGGCAAGATAACTGAAAGAATAACTAGCGCCAGCCCGGTAACCATTTTGTTCAATACAATACACTGAATACACAAAAATAACGACAACAATATTTATTTACCGAAAAGTTATCAATGAAGGTGAAATTAGCAATGAAATCCTTATATTACACCAAGTGCACATATGTCCGAATCTCACACACTAATCAGCAAAAAAAAAAAAAAAAAAAAATGGTTAATGAAATTTGTAAAACTGACGTTTACCCTTTTAAGATATAATAAATATTTGCTTTGGAACTGCTGCATCCAACCAAGAGAATTGTTTTCAAATTTTCATCATTCAACCTCGTTCGATGTGCTGACTTTACATACTTCATTTTTGAAAATATTTGCTCGCAGACATAAGTTGTTCGAAACACTGATGCCATACCTGAGGCAAAATTCTTCAACTTCAGCGATAAAATTCAAGAAGTTTTCCTTCTCAGTGCTTCTCTTTCAACAAGTCACTTGCTTGCAAATCAATTTAAAACTTACTTAAAATTACTGTCAGATGCAAAAATCAGATTGGCCAAATGTTTACTTATATTTGTTTTAATTTTTTCTCCATATTAAATTTAACTTCAATCTATTGATAATTTCATAGAAATAATTATAATTTAGCTCATTTTTGGCACAGTGAGGCAGCGATCCGGAGGAATAGACATCACGGACCATATCCGGCCCGCGGGCAGCAGTTTGGTGATGCTTGCCATGTTGAAGTGTGTATGTAAAACAAAAACGTAGAAGTCAGTGTCACCCTTGTAAATGGCGTCACCTTTAACTGACTTGAAATTGGTTCCAAGAAACTAGGGAACAACGGAATTAGCCGGAGGCATTTTTCATAAACAGACTAAACACGCAATTCTTCATAACAACTCTAGTACATGTACTTGGAATAAAAAAAGAATAAACTTTGGAAAGGAGACCAATTGTATTTCTGATATTAAACAGTCGGAAGTAGAAAAAAAAACACTTAAAAAAATTGGACACTAAAACTTTAACAAAACTTGATTGGAACTATACCATAATGTCTACTTATTAGGTTAGTCAGAAAGTTCTGAATAACTTAAGAAGCGGAAAGAAAACAAAAAATCTTGATCACTGTCTGGCGGAATTTCCAAGGGGTACTGCATTTCG